TCGCATGCAGAAAGAAAGTTGCCACAAGAGAACTTTTCGCTCTCGTGGACGTGGAAAGCAAGAGTTGGCCTCATCATGAATCCTCATCAACAGATTACTCCATGATTTCTCGTGAGTCTAATCATTCACAGAAGCTCCACCCATCATCATTACAACAAAGCAACAACATGCATGCCAGTAGAAATCTCTCTGCACATTCTTTTGGCACCGGGACGGCGCTTTCATATCTTGGGGAAAAGTGCATGACAATTCATCGATCAGGCATCAACAACAATGTCAGCTCAATCATACCCTCACACTCTGTCATAGGGCAACAATCGAAATATGGTGAGCTCCTGAAACAAGTGGGAACTGGGAGCACAGTAGGAGGATCAGAAATCCTCCAACACATTTCATTGCTCTGACGGCAGGGGTTTTAATGCACCATCAATTCAACAGCAACAGCACCCGGTTCTCCCTGCTTACATCCGGCTCTTAATTTCGCCGGTGAAGGCTTCAACCACATCTAGGAAGAGTAAGTTGGCCGGCCATGAATGCCCCATAAAATCTATGGGCAGATGCACCTGCCACGATCCAAATGCTTGTACTGGACAAGGCTCGCATCGATGACAAGCAGCCTTAAATGTTCTCTGCAGAGGCTTGGCACCTTTCGGAACCTGCAAGTCAACACAAGCAAGTATCAACCTTGTTACCATGTAAAATTGATCTCATCGTTTACGAGGTCACTAGGAAGAATCTCCATGAAGCTTATCACGTCTGGTTTGATGATGGATTTCCATGCTGTCATTGTCTTAGCACCTACCGAGTTCGTCTCCATTAGCCGCCAAGTGTCTGAGGCTGAATTGAAGATTGTCACCTTCTGTTGTATGCTGCGCAATATATTACAACTACTAGAATGAAATGCAAACTGATAATAATGATTTAGAGCTATCCAAGGCATGGAGATATATCGAGTTATGCGACTGATCTGAAATTTACACCAAATGGACTTGAATTTTAGAACCATAAGATCATGTCTTTAGATAATAAAAATTGTAGAAACATTGATTTGGCCAAAAAAAAAAAGAAGAAAAATTGAGCGTAAGTTACCCTCGACATAGAGAAGGTAGAGGCCTACATAACAATTGCTTCAAACCCTATTAGTTCATTGAATGTTAATGGTTTGTAGGAAATAACTGAGACCAAAGGAATCAGTTTCTGAACCCCTGCAATTCTTCAAGAACAATGACGAGCTTGATTATGAAATAACAGTTTACAATGCCAAATTCTAATGAAGGGAAACTTCAAGATAGAGTCTTAGTCAACAGCCAAAGGAGATAGAGAGAATGTTATCAAATTTGGGCATTTTCTAAAGTTACATGCAGAAAGAATTCTAGTGATGATAAGATATATGCAAAACAAAGAATCATTTGAAGTTGCCATAGGCAGAATCCAATATTGAATATGACTGCTAATCTAACAGGACTTTGCATTCTCAAAATAAGATATAAAAGAGTCGAGATAGAGATGGTTCCGTGAGTAAGTATACATTACGGTTGACATAAATCATAACATAGCATGTAGGAGGGTCTTTGTTGTGCAAACGGTCGTTGCACGTCCACAATACCTTAGTTAATAGATCATTTGTCATTTTTGTTCGTTTGTACATTTGTTTGGTAGCCTATTATCTCTTATTTCTTTATATTTTTTGTAAAATAATAAACCAAGAGTAGTTTATAGAGTTGTAGAATGATTAGTCACCAAAATGAGTAAAATTGAATCAAAATGATCTAGTTTTTAGTTTTTATGTGTCATGACTCGTTTTGTGATATGGAACAAAACATCAACCATGATAATCCCTTGGAACCGCCCAAGCGGTATAGGACTAAATAGGGATTTGGGATATTATTTAGCAAGGTTCGCAATACCGTACCGTACCGGAGTTTCGACCTGGGCTCAGTACCGGTACGGTACGGTATACCGCTCGGTACACCCAGGTGTACCGAGCAGTATATTCAGGCGTGCCGAGCAGTGTAGCAGTGCTACAGTGCTACAGTACTGCTATAATGTCGGAACGGTAACATATGGTCCACGTACCGTAAGCCTATCGTACCGGGCGGTACGGACCGGTACTGCAAACCATGATATTTAGTATTGATTAGATTCACAAGTTCATATATAAAGCTTATAGGAACTTATCAATAAGCCCGACACTCAGGTGAGCAATCATTTATAGATTTGTGATTATTCATTTACCTTGTAAAGTCTTTTTATTTTTTTGCACTCTAAGTATTTGTTGAATTACTTATAAAGCTATCATATTTATGAAACATCGAGACTTGTTCATCACTCATTTTTTAAACTAATTAATTTACCCTTTTACAGATGGTCAATCAAATGTGAAGCCACATTTCAAGACATAAATGCTGTTATGATAGAAGAATTGGTGCTCAAATTGTCAAACTATAGGAAGCTTTTTTAAGTTTACATGGATGCATTGGACTTTGTTATTAGAGTAGTACTGATGTAGGAGAATCACTTGGCAACCTACAAGACCTACAAACTCAACCAGACTGAGTGATGACATCCATTGCATGAGAGAGAGGACAATGATGGTCCATTATCTATAGTGACACTACATGCTTGGAATACAAATTGTGCTAAAGACAAATAATATTGTATTACTTTCAAACTAAAAAAACTCTTCCTAAAGCAAATATGATGGTAGAACTTCTTGGCAGAATTTGATATGATAATGGACTATAAGTCTAGAAAAATAAATATCATAGTCGATGTATTAAGTAGGAAAGTGGAGCTGATGAATATTGTGCAACTAAAAGGTGGGGGTCAAGCAAGTCAATTACAATCCAACTTCCTTTTTAGGATCAATGATGAGCTGTACAATAATCTCCAAGTAGTAAACCCTAATACAATAGTAAACCCTAATACAACTGATTAAAGAATGTAAGGTATAATGATTTTGGATCCATAAGGGGCTCATCTATACTAAAGGGAATAGAGTTTTTGTTCTCCAAGAGAACAATTTGAGGTATGAACTTTTGAGAGAATGTCATGGTTCCCTTTGGGCAGAACATTTAGGCATTTATAGTTTTGATTTTCATAAAAAAAACCTTCTATTGGCTAAAGATGAGGACTAATATAGAGGAATATATTCAAATGTGCCTTACTTACTAATAACAGTGGATGTTGGTGAGACTTTTGAAGCTATTGCATTCACTAGAAAGACTATGAGAGAACATTTCCTTAGACTTCATATCAAGCTTATCGATGACATTGAGACTTAGATCGATACTCGTAGTAGGGGCTAATTATATATTACCCCTTATAATTAGCTACCTTTAGTATCTTGATTCTTATACTTTCAAAAGTTATATTGAGATCCTTATACTTACGAAAATGAAACATTTAACCTCATTATTCTAACCAAACCACTCGCCCCTCTCTCTCTCTCTCTCTCTCTCTCTCTCTTTTTAACTTTGTATAGGTATCTTGATGTATCACTTTTGTAAGTATAGAGATCCTAATATAACTTTTGAAAGTATAGGGATCATGATGTTAAAGGTAACTAGTTATAAGAGATAATATATAATTAGCCCCTTTATTCTCCACCCAATGAGAATAAACTTTATGGATGGCCAAATTGAAAGAATAAATTTATTTTTGAGCAATATCTTTAATATTACATGGGTGCTAACTAAAGAAATTGGGTGAAGCTATTGGACATAGCTCAATTCTTCTACAACTTACAATGAAGCTTTATCCCCAACAAAAGCCTCTTAGAGATTAGATCATTATTTGACAACAGTCATTAACTCCTCATACTTTGACGATCAATTATACTAAAAGTAGCTCATTAACATATCACTTTGTAAAGAAATAATAACGAAATACATATATTGCCCGTGCATACTTGAGAAGGCGACAAAAAAAAAGTGGGCAAATCTAGGAAGACAATCATAAGAGTTCAAAGTGAATGACTTAGTATTAGTGAAACTCCAACCAACATTACTTTAGTTCTTTAGGTATAAAGTGTATAAATGACTAATGCACTAAGTATGAAGAGTCTTTCCCAATTATCTATTTACGTGACTCAAAATTTATAATATCTTCCACATGAGTAACTTGAAAGTCTATCAATCATATCCGTAAGATACTTTTCGAATATCATCACTTTAATTTGCTTGTACATTTATTTAGTAGTATGTTTTATCTTATTTTTTATATGTTTTTGCTCGAAATGTATAAGCAGGAAGGAATAGTTTGTAGAGCTACAGAGCAATCACTTACTAAAATGGATAAAATTATCTCACAATAGTCTAATTTTTGCACATCATAACCTATTTTCTATAGAATATGGTGTGAAGCAAAAAATCAATCATCTCAATCTCTAGATTGGATGATGATTTGAAATATTATTGAGTATTGATTAGATTCACAAGTTCATGCGTAAAGTCTATGATAATTTACCAATACTCTCGACAAGTAATGAGTAAATTTTTCACATAAACATGAATTATGACTTACCCTTATTGGAATATTAATCTGACTTGAATTACAACAACATATTAGCGCACACAAACTAAACTATGCAATATATATCATGGGAATTTGGGTAGCGTCATTAAATAAATCTGTGAATGCTTTTCGAGTAAAATGAATATATTTTACTGCACCCAAAAAGTAAATAACAGATGTTTTGAATCCGAAGCTTTATAATAGCAGTCACTCAAATATGAAAATCTTGGAAATACAGTACGTAAGAATATGTCACACTCCTATGATCACATTCACAAGTCAGGTGATGTAGTTAATCTAAATTTACAAAAGCTTCTGAATTCACGAGGGAATCAGGACAGGGAAGCTAAGCTATCACCTCATCTTTGATGGATCTAAGAAGAGAGAAATAGCAACCGAAAAGACAATGTGGAAACTTGCAGTGATAATAAGTATCATCCAATTCTGAACGCATATGTCCATTAAAGTAAGACTGCAAACCTTAGACGAAGGAACCCTCATCGACTCTTTGCCTCGTCTGCCCATAGACACAAACATGGGGAAAAGAATATTACAAACTCCATATCTCGATTTGCATTTTGATGAACTACAAGTAAAGCTAAGAAACGTATTGCATATGCCATGATGGCATACACTCATCCAAGTCCAAACTACTCGTACAATCCAATAATGCATTTTGCTGCTGCTCATACCGGCAAATGTAATTCAACCCCACCAGAAGCTCGCAAACGACTTCCTCTGTCTTCTCCCTGTCGGCATAATACAAAGTCTGAAGCAATACCACATTCGTCGTCGACGTTATCTGCTGCTGCTCGAAGTTGCGATCGGTCTGCCAACGGATCATGTCATGAGCCATGGGTGAAAGCCAGCTCAAAATCTTCTCGAGTGCTTCCTTCCAATCATGCGCAAGAGGAGCATCGTAAATAGCTAGATTCTTCACGCATGACTTGAGACTCCTTCTGAGAGCCGCTCTTAAGGTCGACGGCAACATCTGGTACAAGTCGTCTCTTGCATCATCTCCGACGAGATGCGTATACTTCAGTAACTTCTCTATGATAATTATGATGTTCGCATAATGCAATGCGAGAGCGGAACCGCCCACCGTAGAGGGTGCGGCGAGCATCGTCAGCTTACTCCTCGGCCCAAACTTCGATCTCCTACCACTCATGTGCTGAACCACTTCGCCGCTAAATGGAACCGGAGCACCGAAAGCAGGACGGCTGAGACACCGCTCGTTCGAGAATTGCTCATCACTCTCTTTCAGTAAAGCAGAGCTGCCTAAACTGAGGCACTCCATGAAGAGCCTCCCCGGACTCGCCCCACAGTGGAATCTGAGGCCCTCCCTCCGGAGCTTCGCACCCGCTTCAGCATCAGGAGTCGTCTTAGTGATCTGACCAGAAATGCTATTTACGGAACCTGATCTTAGGGACCCTGAATGAATTGGATGATGAGCTGAAACAATGAGTTGATCTGAAAGCTGACAGCTTTGGTCAGCGACTAGGCAATCCGAACTGCAGATTGTCTCCCAGAACACGAGGGATATCCGGGAATGGATGGTGCAGATAGCTCGGGCAAGGAGGAGGACGACCTTGTCGTAAGTCTGGTTCCAAAGGGAGGAGCCACGCAGGTGCTTAACATCTTGCCGCTGCCACTGGATTTTCTGGTCAACGGCCCGGCGGCTGGCGTCGTGGACTGGATTTTGGTGGAACTTCTTGGCAGCGTGCTCTAGCTCCGTCAGGACCTCCAACTCGGAGTAGAGCGACGCGGTGGCCGAGACGAAGCGCTCCATCTTGCGGATAGTCCCATCCATGTCCTTGGAGAGGAAGCCGAGGCTGGAAGGGTCGATGCGACCCGCGAGGAGGTCGGAGTAGACGTGCTCGAAGCCAAGGAGGGCGGGGTGGGAGCAGCGGCAGCCGAGGCGGGAGGCGACGGTGGCAACGCCGTTGAGGTCGTCTAGCTTCTCGGCAAGGGCGAGGGACAGAAGGAAGTGCTCGTCGGAGGAGACGAGATGGCGGACGCCGTGGGACGCCAGGATTTGGGAGCGGAACCGGGCCATCTCAGATTCGGAAAGGGAGCGGTAGAGGCTGACGGCGCGGGACATGGCGCTGGCGACCTCGAAGGAGAGGATCCCGACGGTGGCGGCGGAAGGCGCCGGCTTGGGGCCGTCATTCTTCTTTTTCTTCTTCTTGGTGGCGGCGGCAGCGGCGACGGAAGTCCGCATCTTGTTAATCCAGGGCTCCGCCACCAAGGCTAGGGCTTCAGACAGGCCTCTGCCAGATCTAGCGTGTCCCCTGGCTCTTCCTGCGCCCCCTGTCGCGTTCAAGCTAGGCTTTGTCGTCTGCCAACGTCAAAAAGGAACACTTTGAGCCACCAAGAGGTAGAAGATCAGCAGGCAAAAGCAAGAAAGAACTCGACACATACCGAGGAAACAAAGAAAGCAAGGAACTTTACAGGACTGACAGCTCTCAAACATAAAATTCGCAGCTCAGAAGCACGAACATATGGAACCTTTCCATTCTCCTCCTCGATCCCAAAGATCTCATCTTTCCTGCTTGATTGATCGATCTCAACCAGCCACGGGAGATCACTTCAAACCTATACACCCTACGAATTGGGAGCTGGACGGGGTGGAAGAACGGATTAGAGGAGGAAGGGAGTCGCGTTGCCGAGTTCAAGCTCCTCCCAATCGGGCTCGCGGAGGCAGTGTTCTGGACAAGGTGTGTATTCCTTCCTCCTCCTTCCACAGAGTAAAAGAGCAAGAATAATTAAATGCGGAACGATGGGAAGAGCGTTTAAATGGAGAGAGAGAGAGAGAGAGAGAGAGAGAGAGAGGTTTATGGTGTATATATATATTTCTGTCTCAGAGTGTGGCAAGGAGAAGACCTCTTCAGGCTCAGCAAAACTCTTCTAACTTTTTAGAGTCATCGGCCGCTTTCCCTCCGAGTTACTCCGGTGGTGATTGGGAAAGAGAAGGGGCCTACAAAATGCGCGCTTCAGGAGACGCAGGTAGCTTTGGCATCGTCTTGCGTCAGGTCCGACTCAGACTCAGAGCGCAGAAGGCGTCTTCCTGTGGAAGATGAACGAGCGGCGCAACAAATGATGGCGTCCACCTTCCCTCTTGACTTTGCGCCGCTGTCGCGCCGTCTGCGTCGCGAGCTGGCCCAAATAGAAGCTTCCCATGGCATCACCGGCTCCGCTCGACGTGGCACGCTAGTCTTTTTGAGGCAAATGCGGGGCGACCGAACCACCCGCCGAGAACTGTCGGGTCGACGTGGTCTCTCCATACTACAGTGACGTGGCCTTTCCTGATCGTCCGACGGTACCAATAGAAAATTGGGCGCTCGATTCAAACTTGAATACCTGAATAATTAATCGGCTTCAAATCGATATTATCACATGACTCATATTTGTCGTATTTCAAGAAAAAATCGTAATAATATTAGATAGATTATATAGATTTTTTTATATAATTATTGAGTTTTATAAATAGTTATATATTTAAATTAAATACAAAAATATTTAAATATTTGTTTACCAAAGTCATATCTATTAATTCTGTTAGGTCTTTCTCTACAATTTTTGTTCACATAATAATAATAATCATTTCACCTTACTATATGTCAATACTATCCATTCATTCTTATTTTTTATCCTTCATCAAAATAACATCTAAGCGCCTACCTTATTATTCTTATCTCAATAGTATATTCTTTTTTTAGAATAAATACTAAATAAAAAAACATGAAATGAAAAGGAAAAATAATAAAGGAAACCTTCCAATTTATATGAATCTAAGGTAGAAAAGTTGACTTACCAAGGTGGTCAAGGTAGAAGAACTTGGCATGTGGCCTCGGAAGACTTTCTCGGCAAGTAGATCAACATGGGGCAGTTGCTGGCGTTTGACTCTTTGTTAGTTCTTGTTATCAATGTTGCTTCCTATTCCCCAATTTTAGTCTCCACAACTCTCATGTTAGGTTTTCTTTACTTCCTTGAGATTATCTCGTTGGCTCGAGATATATATATATATATATATATATATATATATATATATATATATATATATATATATATAAAATTTTACGTCGAAGATATTAGTCAATAAACTAAGGGGATCATTTTTTATTTACTAATCAATGATTTAATAAAGTATACTAGTCCTGAGTTACAATTCAATAAAACGTGCATAATATTTTATTAGTATATTTATTTTTATTAATTAATTTTTTTTAATATTTATTAATATACTGAAGGTTATGATAAAATTGATCATAGATATGATACGGATACCATTTGGTATAGACAAAATCAATTAAGTCTATAATAAATCAAATAAAATTCTTAACGGTCCAATGAATCATGCCTTATCACTTAAAAAGCATGATCATCATTGATTTTTTTTTTCTTTGAAGATAATCTTACAAAATCGAATGATATCGTTTATCATAAGCTAACATGTACGGATAAATCTCATTAGATTAAGCATATGAGAGAGAGAGAGAGGAATCCAAAGAACAACTACATGGGATTCTAACCCTAGAACCGTGTTATGAGTCAAAGTCAATCGGAGCTAAGTCCGGTGGTTGGATTTCCACATGGAAATTTCCAATTCCGCGTGGGTGCAACATGCCAACTAGATGCAAACAACTAAGCCAAGATGATGCTAATTGAATGCTAAGTTGGGATGTGGGTTTGTTGAAGACTACAAATTCTCAAGTCAAAGCGATGGACATTAACCACTACTCTCTTTCTTCCTTCCACCATGCTAATCGCACCCTTCAAAAGGAGAACGTGTCGTGCGAGTGGCGTGACAAACTTTCCTTTGTCTTGTGATGGATGGATGGAGATGGCACAACTATCATACCATGCCCAAAAAATCCAACACATGAAAGAAAATATAGGTTGCATGAGACGGCAGTGTGGACGGATGGCGACAAGTTCACATAGATTTTTCCCTTCCCATTCTTAGTCTTTTGTTGCCTTTCGTTTGGAGTTTTAGCCGCCCATGTCACTTATTCCTAGTGGTTTACTTCAAGTAACCTCCACGTATTCATATGAAGATCTCAAGAACGAGACCTTATCTTTTGTTAATAATTATTTTCGATGTATTTATTTATGTATATTTTTCTTATCAAAGTGGACTTATTTGTCATCTACCACCACCTTGATCTTGATGAGTTTTGAAGTACATTAGGTGGATTGTGTGAAGATTATTATTAGCTTGTTGTCATTAGGAATCTTATATTGTTAGGGTTGATAAAATATTTTTAGAAATCTAATAGGACTAAAATATTTAAATAAAAATTTAAGTATATAAAGATATTCTTGAATATTAAGATTTGATCATTCAATTCAATAAATAGAGAAGGTGTAGAGAAAACAAAATTACAAGTCTTCATATAATTCTTTCTAATATATGATAGGATGTATAAGAGATTTTGAACTTCAATTTTGATTTACTTTGAAAAAAATTTATTTTATTATTATATTATTATTATATAATAAAATACTTATATATATATATAATAATAATAATAAGCTCTTGGAATATATAATAAATCAGAATTATTCAATATTTTTGAATGGATTAGGCAGTCATTCTTGGAGTTCATATTAGAGGCAAGGAAAAAAAAAAGGAAAGGTGTTCATATATAATGATCATGGAGAAGACACACAAAAGTTCTTGCTTAAAAAAATATTAAAAATTTTCTTTAGGTAAAATTTTTCTTTTTTAAGAAAAGGCTGTTCATTCATAATAATAAAGGATAATTTTTTTCTTCTTTAATTTTTCCATGGAATGATGCATTACACATATTGGTTCCTAACCCAAAATGTAACCACAAATGTAGAGCCAAGCATGAACAAAACAGGTCAACAAGGTTATAATGGTTTAGGTTGGCTTCCTCCCCTACCATCTCACAAGCTCCCATCCCTTTGGAGTTTTCCCATGGTGGTGAACATTGTCAGTGTTGGGACCTAACCCAACCCAACCCAACAGGCTTTGCCGGGTGTAGGTGTTTGTGTTCTTCAAGCCTTTTTGCATGGCTCTCTTTGTCACCTTCTTCCCTTCCTTTCCCTCTCTCAGTGAAGTCACAGAAAGTGATGGTGCTTCTGTTAATGCCGTAGGTGAGCTGCAGTGGCTTTCCTCTCGTCATTTCTTCTAGTGGGATTTGGTGGATTGACTGACCTTTTATTTTAAAACCTTTGTTCTTCAAAAGTTGCTTCTTTTGCTGGTGCTGTGCTGTGCTGCTAAACTTTCATGTCACACAGTTGTGCGATCTCAGACAAAGGAACTCGAATGCTCTGTTTCAAGAACGAGTAACGAAAGGATTGCCAAATATATAGAGTTCATGTCGTATAACCTGGATTGCTTGTTCAAAACGCAATCCAGGTTTCTGTCAACCAATACGAAAGCATTCGAGATAAAGAAGGAAGGAGGTTGCACACCGAAAGAAGCTTTTGATTGGACTTGCTTTTTTACTCTTGCAGCAAAATATGTTGTGCCTGCGATTCTATCAAGAACAGCAGAAGTAGGCCTCAGGTACTCTGCATGCCATATCTACCAAATTCCAGCCTGCTTCACCCATCAAGCCCACCTGATTTCCTCAACATCACTTCTTTGTTGGCTGGAATTGTGGACATGGATTTCTTTGTTATGATCTGTAAGCTGGAGAAGAATTAGCCCACTCCTCTAATCTAATCCTTGGTTACTAGTCTTTTGATTTGATCCAAAGATATTAGTACAGAGTCCTTTAGTCCCGTCCGAGCTAATTACATATTATTCCTTGTGTTAATTATGATTAACTTTTCGATCTCGATAGTTTAAAAAATAGTTATGATTAATCATCCACAACATAACCATAGGGGAAGGAATCGGAGGGAAGTAAAGCGATGCGAAGTTTCTATGAAAGACACTCGAACCAACGAGAAAGAAAAGTTTATATAAAATTAATAATTAAAAAAATTATTCTTTTCATTCATGTAGTTTTGTACGTGATAGCATGTACGATTTTTTTTGTCAACGAAATTGACGACACGAGAAAAATTATGATTAAATATTTTATTTTATTAAGTATAAGAATCCTAATACTATTTTTAAAATTATGAGGATCGAAATACTAATAATAGCTAACTGTAGGAGTAGTTTATAATTATTGATACAGTACATGCTAATTAAATATTCATACTAATGAATGGAAAGATAATTTCCTTGTCCACTTGGGCTGGCTTCGTGACGTTATCCCACGCCACAAAGCTTCAAGATTCGTGAATCCTGTGACTTGATTGCTTCATCATATTGCTGTATGATGGGCGCATTATTCATCCAATATACAGTTTATTCAAAAATAGGTAAAAGGAAAAAAGACATGTATGTTTCCCTAGATTTTATGGTCCGGGCAAAGAAAGAAACCCTAATAAATTTGTACTTCATCGTCCTATTTAGAACTAGCTGGTACAATGACGTTCCTCGTCGATTTCCTGCTAATTGTATGTCTTCCACTAGAATGCAAATCTTATGCATGTCAAACACTGACAGCAAAAAATCGATGTAGACGACGACTAATCCACAAGCTCATCAATGGCGGACGTTCGCGTCGTGATACACTGACTTCCAAAAGTCGTCTTGCATGTCAAAGCAGGCCATCGGTGAGAGCGTCTCGTTCTCGATCCCCAACGCCAAATCCTCATCAGCCATGTCGAAGTTGACCTCAGAAATCCAATTGTTGTAGCTGTTCATGCACTCCACATCCGATGGGGGGCTCGAGGAAAACGGCCTCGCTTGATCAATGAAGCCCTGGAGATCATGTTGACGAGGTTGCAGTGCACTGTAGAGCCTGTCTTCTTCACGATTAAGGCTCGCGGTCATGCCGTTCCCAAGCCCTTGTGCTGCTTGTGCCTCGAGAGAGGCCACCTGAGCTTGTAGATTCACAACCTACGGAACAAGGCAAAGCATTAGCAGGCACCGAGGAGAAGATTCCAAGCACTCGAGCTGCTCACTTGTTGCTGGAGGGCGAAGATGTGGGCGACGCAGCCGTAAATAGGGTTTTGGAGCCGAGCTTGTGCTTCGTAGGATATGGTAATGGCGGCCTCGGAGCGGTCCGCCATGGGCAGGTGCATGAGCAGCTTCGCGACGTTGCTCGCCCCGAACACCTTGTGGATAGCCGCGAAGTGCGCAGCGCCTTGCTCGTGGTGGAAGAACGGAGCAAAGACGCAGCCGCTGACGCACTTCCGCCTCAGGAACTTGCAGGCTCCGCAGGGAGACCCAAATCCAGCCATCTCCAACCCTCGAATGCTGGGCGGTGTAGTTCAACCGTGAGCTATCAAGTTGCACCACCTACCAGTCTTATAAACACCAGATCGACAGCATTTCCTCGATAATTAATGCTTCCTTGTCTTTCCAATGGCCGACAACGTCATGCACAACCCTCGCTTTCACCTCGTCCCCTATTTTATACACATTTCAGATTCCATCCAAGAAATCCCCACTCGTCTCTTGCTCAACGGTTCAGGAGCTCCGGGAACGCTGTGACGTAGAAGTCGAGAGTCGGATGAAGCAAATCCAACAAGAGACAAAGTTTGGAGTATACTGGGGATCTGAAAGCAGAGCAGCTTTCGAAGGAAAGCATGGGTGAAATAGAGGGAACTTTGTTAATGGTGTCACGCACGATAAAGCTGACATGTAACGATGACTGTCGATCGCTTACTTACCTGTCTCTTTAGCGTGCCGCTAAGAGGCCTCATTGAGGTATTAAGATTGCTTTGTACTCACACAACCTCGAATCATGATGTGAATGCAAAGTAGAAACAGCTTTTGTACATCATTGATCTTCCTCCTCAGCCATGCAAGTTACCTGTTACTACAAGTGATATATTTACAGGTCTTCACTGAGCTCCAGCTGTTCCCTCTGTTAGGAACTAGACTTTGACAAACCACAAGGCACGGAGACTAGTTTTCCATAGAGATGGTCATGCCGCCCATCTATGTTGTAGCCTTTCATTTGAATTATCCTGCCAAAAATCAAATCAACTTTGTCCATTAGTTCTCACACATGCATTTCCTTCATGTTCCTGCTTGACCAAGATTTCACTCACTTCTTTAACTTAGCCTATCCTTCTTGAACTTTTTCTTGACACTGTAACTTTACATCGTCATCCCTCCTTAATCCCGAGATTCTTTGTCAATGCTTAGCAGAAACCCAAAGCGAGCAGTGCGAGTCATGGTTGCTTCCGACGACTCGGTGCCTATTATTCCACCGAAGAGCTGTATGCTTCCTGTGCAGATCAACAGCTAAAACGCGTCGGTGACTGTGTATCTTCACTGATGATCTACAGCTAGCCAAGTTGGATTGCGATCCTTCCTCGTTTTCATGTTCTTGTTTCCTCTCAACTTGATAGATTCGATTCTCGAATACAATAACTCAAGTTGGAGACACAGCTACGTAGAATCCCAATGTTGGAGATCACCGGTCAAATTTGGCTCGACCTAACCAAGACCGGTCAAGCCGACACCCAGTTCCACGTGGGTCCGACGCACGTGTGTTGTTATCATCTCATCAACCCTCGAGCACTTGGCAGCAGCGGTTAATATTGTTGACAGCTTCCTTCTCGTCCTAAGCCTTTGACGTCCCCCAACGATTTAGGGAGACAAAGAAGACCACACGAGCGGAGTTGCCTGACGGTAGCCGGGCATGACCATATCCCTTCGCTTTCAAGCCAAACTTTGCTGGTTATTCTCATTATCATCACTATTATTATTCAACCAAACTATGTTTGTCTCGAGTGTGAATATTTATTTCTTGGCCAAGACTTGAGAGTTTAGATGAGAATGCTGTAGTTAGATTTGGGAGCAGATTTTCTAAGTCCGGCCCCCTATCATCCTAAAGGTGTAGCTTTTGGAACCCACCAAAGCTATGTTTTAGACTAAGCATGGTTGTTCTTTTTTTGGTGCATGCACACAGTTTGCAGCTTGACGGTCATGGGATGTCAACATCTGTCTCATCAGCTGCAGGTTTTTACGCTTGGGAAGAGTTGAACTTTGACTAGGAACAAGGATTCTATCGGGTTGAGGGTCACAGCTGGTGAAACATTCTATATCCCGTGTCAGGTTGTCCTGTTGTCATGCCATGAAGTTGAACACGAACAGAATGGGCTTTGCAGGCTGCACATAACCAAAATTTGATGAATTTATTTTCCATAGATATTGTGGTATTATTCCTTGTTGTTAATTCCATGTCCGAAGGTGGCGTTTGCTTGCTTGTGATGGTGCAATTAGAAGCTGCAGGCAGAAGAAATCGCAAGACTTAGGGATGCTCCTGTGGAGGACAAAGAATCTATTCCTGTACTGCTGCAATGGCAAGCAGCAAGGTTCTTCTAAGAGCCAGTAGTAACTTGACTTCCCAAGCATATCCTGTTCTATCCAACATTGTACATCTTTTCTCTAACCATTTAGCTAACTTCCCGTCAATCTCTAACCATTTAATTTTGTAGTCGGATTCCCGGATTCAGCAGTGACACAACTTACAGTGGAAGATAATGGTTCTGCAAAATGCTTCTTGCAGAGAGTTCTCTGGTCTTCAGCTTTCCAGCATATATATTCCAGACCTTACAATCTAGTCAATACTGATAACGGAGTTCTACTGGAGCAAAAACCTTTCTTGTTATGCATGAAAGTGTAAAGGAATGAGTGATGAATCTTCTTCATCAGGTAGAAAGTCAGATATTTCCCAAAGAAGTTGAATGAAATGAGAAATGAAAAGCTAATCCATCGATTCCGACGGAGAAAAGTTCACAATAACGTCAAATTCTACGATGTTATTATGTTTGATATGGTGCTCCTTATTTATACACGGTGAGGATTTTTCTCAACAGAACTACGATATTTCCTCGTATAATTGGAGAAATCTTAACTGTTATCAAGGAAAATCTTAACTGTTATCAGCAGACTTTTCTCGCCGCACAACAACATGCAGAAATCTACTCCCGGAGGTCAGTCCATGTAATTTTTTTACCAATCCTAAATGGATGTAACCTGAAAGTTTCAAGGTAAAAGAAAAAAATATTCCTCGTAACATCTAGCCGAAAAAGTGTTCGCTGCTGCAGGTATTCAGATGCAACCTTCAGATGTAGATGGTATCATGACGCACACAAAATGCAGGAGTCCTTCAGGGAAAGACTTTGAGAAACAAATGCAGCAAAGCTTGTGCGTGTAGAACACAAACTCTACTAAAAACGAGTTTGTGGTGATGCAAGAATCCAGCTGTGCCAAAAATATACGAGAAGAATGACAAGAGATAGACCCATTTATTTGTAGTCGAAGGCTACAACCTCACTTGCCATAGCGTTCAGAAACCAGTGGCAGCAAGAGCGGCAGCAGAGAGGAAGGAAAGAGAAGCTCCACAGTCATGGCGCCTTCAATGACACAAATCAGAAGAACATACAGGAGATTTAAGCCACACCTTCTCATGACCATGGCACAATTAGGTTACACGATCCTCTACTTCATTACAGAAGCCTCTTTCGACCAGGGATTGAATCCCCATGTCTTCGTAACTTACAGACACATTGTTGCCGCCTTGGTCATGTGGCCTTTTGCCTATTTCCTCGAGAGGTACATAGACTTTTTGTTACTAACCAGTAGCAACAATGTGTATTCTAATCCCGAGACTGTTTCCCAAATCCTCACTTATACCTTGTGGCAGAAAATTACGGCCAAAGCTTACATGGGCATTGTTCCTGGAGATTTGTGTTCTTTCCCTTCTTGGGTGAGAGGAAAACATCTTAAGCAGCATGTAGTTTAACCGATGCTAATACCTGAACTCACTGTTGTTATCTGCTCATCCTACAGGGTCAGCCTAACTCTAAACATGTACTTTGCAAGCTTAAAATACACCTCGCCAACCTTTGTTGCTTCTATGATCAACACCATCGCTGCCGTGACTTTTGTCACTGCCATCCTGCTCAGGTACAGAACATGTCATGACTCTTGTCATTGCCAGTCTGCTTGGTCACAGAACATGTCACTCATGGCAATTCATTGCAGAATGTAAACTCACTGCTCCAATGGCTATTTCTTGGTTTAGAATGGAGCGTCTTGATCTTGGGAGCCCTAAGGGGGTGGCAAAGGCTGCCGGAACTGTGGTGTCGTTGGCCGGTGTTACAACCATGACACTCTACAAAGGACCAGCGATGAAGAACTTTTATGGACCACTAATTCAAATCCATGGAAATTCCATCCATGAGAACTGGTTGAAAGGATCACTTCTTACAGTGGCAAGCTGCATAACATGGTCCATATGGTACATCATGCAGGTACTTCTCTCCTCTCGTCCAAGCAAGCCATGTAATCGTTCGTTTCAACTGCAGAGGAAGAAAAACCCAAAAGCAAATAAGAGAATCACCAACCTAAACATCATGGAGGCGTGACAGGCGGACAGATCAGTCTTACTCTATGTTTAAACCTACAGGCAACAACGTTGAGAAGATATCCAGCACAACTTTCACTTACTGCATGGATGTGCTTCGTTGGGGGTGCACAATCAGCTATTTTTGCAGCATTTGTAGAACACAAACCAGCAGCATGGAAGCTTGGATTTGATGTTAAACTATGGAGTATCTTGTATGCTGTAAGTACACCTTTCCATGAAGATGTCGACTCATACTTTTGGCACAGTATATTTATATTTGTGTGGACAATACTGCAGGGAATTGTCGGCTCTGGTTTGATCATCTACATAAAACTGTGGTGCACCAAGGAAAAAGGACCTGTTTTTGTGACCATGTTCAACCCTCTCGGCACCATAATGGTTGCAGTTCTAGCATACTTTGCTTTTGGTGAAAGACTCTTCCTGGGAAGGTACACATCGAACACAGATCTCTCAGTTTATCATACGATGATCGACTTGTACAGAAGAAATGAACCAGCATGAGAGTTCTGAGATCAAATTATTGTTGTCTTTCTTGTTATAGCATCATTGGAGGCATAGTTGTCGCCATTGGACTGTACTTGGTGCTCTGGGGGAAAGAAAGAGATCAAGAGAAGGACATGACACCTGAAGGGGCCTCGTTTGTGGCTTCTGAAACAGGAAAAGAAGAAACCAGCACACTTTCCAGAGCATAGGTGGCGAAGCAGATCAGCTAAAGTGGTTTGAAGGAATACTGCATGAATTTTCTGTCAATTGTTCAGTAACTAGTCACAAAAGGCTCACAGTTTTGATTCAGTGCACACCAAGATTATAACTTCTGAAAGGGACTCGAGATTGACAAAGACATATCCTTGATTTTATGATGAATGAATTCCTCACCATTTGAAGCCTAATGCATGAATTCCAGTCAGTCAGATCTCACTAGAATAGGGTAATGACATTTATCATGTTATAATTGAATTCTAATAGGAATATTCCCCCGATCCCCATGCTCTTAGAGTTGAAACACAAAAGACTCTTGATAAGACATATTTTGGTTCCGGATGAGTCATCATCGACGTCACATGCCACACCCCAACCGATGTCAGAAACCGACGTCACACGCCATCAGAACCCCATGGTGCACATCACGTCGGGTTCCGTATAGATACACTATGTGACATGGCCATCCCGAGAGCTCGGGACAGTGCCATCTGACGCCACTCAGGCATTCCCAAAGACGTCAACTCGTTAGAGAAGTTGTTCCATCCCGCAAGGGTTAGCGGCCACACCGAACCGAGGCACAACCAATCCACATGTGATAGTATAAAAACCCCTGGTCGACACCCGGCCAAAGAGGGGCGAGAAAAATAAGATCGAGACAAGCAACACTCGACTAACTTGCTCGTCGGAGGGGTCAAAGTCGGGGAGCACCCGACGAAGGCCATTTTTGCAGGAAGACGGTCACCCCCGAGCGGCAAGTGTCTCAACCTAGGAATCGCCATCCAATGCACGAGGACACGCTGCCATACACCCCGAAATCGAAGGGATGCGACCCATCACAAACGACACCTGGGTCGGTAGACCGAGGAACGCTGATCAACATCCCCTCGCTAGGGCCATGGTACTTTTGTTCACTGAAAACTCTCTTCTCTGCATTGTCTTGATTGCATCAGAGTCTCGAGTCAGACTTACTGATTCAAATTAATAGATCCAAGTTGAGAAACATTTTCTTCTTCGGATTCAGGTGACTCGAACTTGCCTCAGTTTTTCTTGCCGACTCTAAGACATGGCTGTTTCTTTACTACAAAACATGCCATCCATCACGAGCTTTCTCGATTCGAATCCCTGTTTCAGCAGTGATGTGAATTCAACTTTTCTATTTGTCTGTCAGAAATCAGAGCAGCTCTGGTCTTTGTACGAACCCTGACTGCAGTAGGTCTTGTTTCCAGTGCTGTTGTTGCAAAGCGGCAAATCAAATGATGCCAACCTTGTCTGATGTTTTCTACTTCTTGGCGTAACATTATATTTGATGTAGATCTAATGCTCGTCAGAGTTGACCAAGCTCTGATCTAATAAACAAAGGAGGTCGGAGATTAAGAGAATTAGATATTGCACCTCTCCATCATGGTTTCTCTTCTCTTTTCCCACGATTGCTGCCAAGAAAGATCTAAGAGAAGCAGTAAGAAGACGTAGGAATCAAATGCTACACCGTACTTCCTTCGTGGACATCCGAACTGGGAATTTATGTCTGCAAAAGCATTCCCGTTCCTCCCACCCATTTACTCTGCAACCACAACAACTGCGAGGTAGAGGGAGTTCTCGATCACTTTGCAGCGTTTCTGCTCCTAAATTGAATGCGAACTGCCATTGTCAATGGGGAACTCTTCCTCTCTTTAGGTTGTCAGGAGTGCTTTCATGACAACTCTCCGCACATCATCAGAGGCACATGCGTTCCTGCAGTGTTGAGGCAATTCTAATACCCACACAGTTCCCTGCGGTGCGCACATGTGAACATACACCAGCGTTGACTGGCACACCTGTGTGCTCGATGATCGGAAGAGAGATCATTTGTCTTCGCCAGACGTCAGTCAGCGATCATGAAGCAAATCTGCAAGGTTCACATGCCGTGAAAGCTGGAAGAACTTCGAAGACCATCAGTTCCAGTAATGATGCCTCTAATTGTGCCCACCGAAAGCGAAACGACACATCGCTTGAGCTTCTCGTGAGTTGAAATCAGTATACAGTCATTGACACAAAGGTTTTGTATCGGAATCTATTACAAACACTCCTTCCAGTTTCGAAGACCACCGAAGAACGAAACAGAGATGACATTAGCAGCAGCTAACGTCTCATATCTCACACATCAAGCAGCCTTGGAAGGACCGGAATCCTGGAGCTCCGGCCGAACGAGAACAATGACCGCCGAACTCTTCCGCTCCCGCCACCGTCTCCGCCACGAACGTTGCTGCTGCTTCCTTCACCGCTGCCTGCTTCATTACAGTTCTGCTTCTGTCTCAAGATCTCCTCCTGGACTGACAGGTAGAGCTGCCTTTCGGCGGATGAGTCCATGGAGAATGACCTCCTTATGGGCTGAACACGGAACTGCTCATCCTTTCCCCTGACATCAATGCATTCGTCCCCCATGCTCCCCACTTTGTTGTGCTTCCTCCTCTTCTTCCACAGCGAAGGATTGCTTGCCTCCCCTCTCGAGGTTTGGTCACTAACTTCATCCCTCACATCCACCGCGAAGCTTCCACTCTGCTCACGTCGAGGAGCGAGCACTACGACGTGATCAGTCGCCAAGCCGACAGAAGAACTCGTGATACCCGTCCGACACAGCGGGCAGTTGGCGTTGAACTGGAGCCAGGTATCGATGCAGTCGATATGGAAGGCATGAGAGCAGTCAGGAAGCAGCTTGAGCCTTTCCTCCTCCCGGAACTCATTCAAGCAGATTGCACAGTCGTGGAAGGACGTCTTCCGTCGGGCGTCGCCGTCGCCCGCTCTCGTGAATTTGATGACGGGAATGGAACGGATTACCGACGGATCAAGACCGTGGAACTCGGTGGCGATGGCGTGGATGACGGGAGGTATATAGAGGTGGCGATGGCGGCGGGACTCGGCAGAGGAGAAGAGGCAGCGGAGGAGGTCAGAGCGCGGCCAGCCGAGGCGGCACTTGATGACGAAGACGTAGTAGCTGATGAGGAGCATGGCGGTGGTCAGAATGCCCAAGACGGTGATGGCCAGGACCGGAAAGCTGGTGACGGAAGCGGAGGAGTGTGGAGGTGGCGGTGGTTCAACATGAGACGCATCCATTGGAGATGAGGGATAGCAAGAAAGATGAGCCTTTTAGGACAAGAGCTGTTCGCGTGCTTGGAGAGAGATCATCAGAAGAGATCTAGAGACGAAGAAAAGAAGAAGCCTACTCCCAAGGAAGCCAGGAAAGTGTGGGAACAGAGAACCAACAGAAATCAAGAAGCGATCAAGGTGGAAGAGATCAAGGCGGGCAGCTCGGGCCTACTGAGAGGAAAAGACAACTCTCAGAAGGGGAAAGAAGAAGCCACTAAGCCAAGTGGGCGAACAAGGACGACTGTTGGATTCCACTGAATCACATGCGTTGGATCGAGCAGAGAGGGAGAGGGTTTTGTGCACTTTCTAGTCATCACAAGCTTCTCTCATAAATCTTGTAGTTTGTAAGTGTCGATAAGAGTTGCGGACATCTATCTAAGAAAGTCAACACGCTTACCAGAAGTCCAACTGGCACACCAGTTAAACAATCTCTGATCTGCATCGACCAGTTGACGCGTGAGGGATCACACGAGTCGTGGTCAACGAGATTCCATTCCCATCACTCTCTGCTCATGTCCACCACCTCATGTCTCCTCCATGATCTAACGAGTCGATGCTCTCTCTCTTTATTTATTACTAAGGACGATGAAGATAAAATTCAAGCCTAAAATCTTGTAATCATTTCATCAATATTTAAGATATTCTTTCGTATTTAAGGTCCTGAGCTGAGTTACAGTCTCTCGAGCTTCATTCAGCATCAATCGGCGGGACGTAGGAGACACACATTGGACGACAAATCCAGAGGTAGATTCTGTGTTCGATGGATCTTTTCGGGTCAACTGTTTATTTCTGTTCTTTTATCTTTTTGCATGTCCATCATTGACATTTCTAGGGTGACTAGGAACAGTGTTCGAGAACAGCAACATTATTGCAGAACAATCCATACTAGTAGCTCAAAAGCTTGTCTTCAAAATTTTCTCAAATGTAATGAGAAGTAACATGTGCAAACCATATGAACAAATAACAATTAGAAATCAGTAATAAGTACAGTTCGGCTTGCACAGACAAACTGCAAGATACAACTTTGTGCTGACGCATGACTTCCTACAATTATTCTATTCATAAATGGTACCTGCTGGTGATGAATAATGGGTCAGGAACCTGTACCGAAATGGTTGGCTAGGTAATGTAACTCTGCAATAACTTCGGAGGGGTACAAAATTAGGGGATGAATCCACTAAGCTATATTCTAATGATTCCCAGAGTTCATTGCCTCAGAAAGCCTTGATGCTGCACACTTGGTTCTCGCGTCCGGGGTACTTGATCGAGTCTTAATCCATTCAGTGCTGCTGAAAAAATCTAAGTAATCAGAGAATCAGTAAATAATCTGAGAGAACAATCTGTGCTGGTAAGACCAAAGTAGTAAATTCATCAGATTTACAAAGTAGAGGTGTTTGATTGTCAAGGTAGCACACAAAAAGACTGCATGGCATATTAGATGATGCACATACGAAATCAGAAAACATTCTTCTGAAACAATTAATCTAGCATACACTAACAAGTATTCTTTGGCTGAATTGTAAGCCTAGAAGCATAATTGAAATACACAGATACAAGTTCAAGCATATGTTACATGTTGGCTTGCTTAAAAGCAGGGTACCAGTCAGGTACTGAGCCCAGGACCGGAACCCAGTCAGGCAAACGAAACAATATTACAGAATATAGGGTCAGTATTTGGCCAAAGCTGAAGAAGATTAGTATCCATCCAGTACCAGTGCAACTGGCATGCACTCATGTACAGCCAATATACCGTGATTTTCAATTCCATGCTTATAAGTAGACCACCAATGATCCCTTTGGTAAGTGCATTGGTTCTCGACTCAAAACTTTGCAACTTTATATTACACTTCCGGGTTTACTCAAATAATTTTTTATAACTTATGTACCTTGGATACTGCAAAGAATTTCATAGACAGATACCCTAGGCTTGTTTATTGTGCTTGATCATTCATGTGAATAATACATGTCAAACATGCCTGGAAGTAGTTAAAAGTCAGAAAGAGGAACCAGCTATAGTGCAATAGTTTGATCCACGGTATGCACAAAGTGGAGAAAAGAGAGACATGATGAAAGATTATTGAAGAAAAGGATTTTTGTAATGCCTTAAAGTATGAGATCCTATCTTTGATTAAAGGGTAAGAACATAAACCTTAAAGCATCAAGAAATAGTAGTGCTGACCTTTCCAGAAGCTCCAGGGTCCGACCTAGAGCCTCTGCTGGTTTTCTCACTGGGATATCTCTTATTTTCATCTCTTTCTTTGTGAGTAGTATGTTGATTGTAGTTAAGAGCCTGAAGACCCTGAGTTTCATTATGTGAATCATGCAACCTTCTGCCTTCTTTTCTAGTCCCAGCATGACTGGTTTCTGCCGATCCGAACTCGCTCTTTTCAGTTACATTAGTTTGGTAACTATTAGACGTGGCAATCTGATCCTCCCTTGAGAATTGTGTAGCAGCAGCTCGTGCAGCAGCTATAGCTGCACTAACATTAGGTGTTTTTGCCACTTCAGGTGCTTTGGAGCTACTGAAGTGTAATGCAAGAGATCCTGGCCTTAGCGAAAAAGGATCCTGGGGATCTGGAAGTGGAAACTTTACGGGTAAAGGGCCTTGGATAGTGATAAGACCTCTTACTGCCACATCATGAATCTGCAGGTAAACACAGCAGAACAGTTATGATATAAGAGGCAAGGAAAGAAAAGGAACAAAGAAGCAGATGACATAATAAAAGTTTCCTTGTTACATAACAACAGAAATTTGTGCCAATTACCCTTCTTTCCAAGTTATAGACTTTCTGAAAACCACGCATTTCAAATGGAATTAATAATTTCTGCAGAAAGTAACAGAAAGTCAGGTCAAATTTACCATGAATCTGAAACATTGTCTTGCAATGTAAAGTTAATGCTGCCAACTTCAGAGGTTGCATTCATGTTATCATAACAATAATCATAACTAAAATAAAAAGAAGGAAATATCTTCATAATGGCAATTACACCACACAAAAAGATCCTACAACTCCTTGGTGCTTAAGCTCTGGTTTTCATCACTAACAACCGTGAAGTCGTGCATAAATACCTGAGGATTTTCACACAACCAGCAGAAGTCTGTTTGGCCTTCAAGTCTCACCTACATTGGTAAAAAAACACAACAAAGATAGTTAACATGATATTAAACAAGGTAAGCGGAAACAGTGTAAGAAAAGAAGAAAACACAATCCTCACCGACTCAGATACATCCTCCCAGCACACCAGCTCTTCACATTTAACACAGCCTACCACTTCAACACAACCTACAATTGCAAACATATATAATCAGGTTATAGAAATAGTATCACTATCACCAAAGTCCCAACAAAGTAACTGCTCTTTTTAACTACAGAAAATGTAATCTCAAATCATCATTTTTTGAACTCCATGCCAACTGAGCAGAAGCCAGTTTCCATATGATTCAAGCATACAAAAGAAAAGTCACAAAAGCTAAAACATAAACAAAAGTTGATATTTTTAATCAGAGGACAATAACACTTGGCCATCAGGACAAAAACATTTAATAACTTCCAGCTTTAAGTACTATGTAGACTCGTCAAACTTCTATCACTAAATCTACTTCCTCCTGTAGTCCACCATTGCTCATTAAGCACCCATCTTTTATTTCCCTTCTGATGGGAATCATCTCATATATCCTAAGACTGCAGTCAGAAATTTCCTTCCCAGCAGAATACAATGATTTTTATTATGGCAACAAACTTCCAACATTAATATAACAGAGTCAATTGTAGTAAGAGTCTTTGAAGTAATTGTTGCCTGCTGAAGGTGAGGAGTAGATGTCTAAAAGTGAATCAAATTCTTAAAACTTCATAATGATTATGATGATGATCATCATCATACAAAACGGTGTCCAGGATTTCATCAGTGGATAACTTCATATTTAGAAATTGAATAGTTCTAAAAAGAATTTCTTCTACTGGTACTATGTTCAAATCGCAAGCACTGACAACTATTACATGGTAAAGGAAATTGGTTCCTTTGCAACGATGAGTGTCTTATCTGTTGAAGTATATCACAAAGGTTTTGGTTCTTTTGAAAGAGGATTTGCTATCCTTTGCAAGTTGATCTTCAGACAACTTTTTTATATTTGACTATTACACATTTCAGATGGAAGTTTGAATACTTCTATCAATAGAGGTGAAAGTGAAACCCACCACTCCTGCTAGGAGACTTAAAACTAGCACTACACCTCAATTAAATTGTTGCCAACCAAAAGCTATTAGAGTTACAGAAGAGGCATAAGTTGTGAAGCTGAAGTATGGGGACAATTAGAAAAGAAGATAAAAGCCGAAATAATATACTTAAAATCCATTTGGGCCTTCATTCATGAGCCAAAAAAAGATTGAAACCCAAGACATCAATATGTTAGTCTCCTTTAGCTGGTTGGCTAGCATTAGGACCCACTTACCCTGTATTGGCGGCAGCTACATTTAACAGGAGTACTGACTTGAAAAGAAAATAAGCAAGTTAATGATCCCCATATACCAAAATGGTCAGCAACCATTCAATTTGCATATATTCCAAGTAATTGGGTTTCTTGCAATGATACCATGCTGATCTAGTGTATCACAGCTGGATTCATGGTACTGGTTACCATGCTGATCTAGTAATGTTATCATGCTGATCTAGTCAGCAACCATTCAATTTGCATATACCCTATTACAAGAATTGATTATTTAAAAGAACATTCTTCCGGAAAGACCAAAGACTGTGGCACTGGTTACTGTGAGTCTCCAAGGATGGAGTTCTTGTAGTTGTAGCAAAAAATCAAGAGCTTTGACCTCATAATCAGCAACTACTATTTCTTTATTGGGAAAAAGGATATGTAAGCTTTTCAATCTATACCCTAAAAATGATCCTTCTATATTTACTCACTATCTCTGATATCTTAATAATCACTAGTCTGACGTGATATCAGAAGGCAGTGGATAATTTTGCAGTACAATGTAAAACTGAGGAGGCAGCAGTTGTTCCTCCTCATGGTACGTGGATAAACATATAAAGCACTCTTCCACCAATGACCACTTTCTTGAATGTTTAAGCATCTTTATGTACCAAAATTCTAATGTCATTTGGAAGCATTCGTATTTTTCTTCTGATCATTCTGTTTCTCAACAGCTTCAAAGAAACCTGGACTTATATATACTTTAAGAAACAGTATCTCATGTGTCCCTCAACTCTCAAGATTGTAATGAATGAGTAAATTCAACTTATATTACTTGTTGGTTTGTGCCAAAAAACTTTATTTTGAGTAACAAAATCATATATATTATTACTCATTTTGGGGTTACTCATATGAAAGTTTAAAGTAATTTAGTCCAAAATTCATGATCGATACTTTCTAGGTTAATTACTTCATCACTCTATCCTAGTTAAAATAAGAATCTTAGTACGGAACTCTCCACATACATTCAATTGTGCTCTTAGGTTCCTTGAGGATGTTATCCTTGAAAAGATCATGGCATTTGTTTAAGGATCATAAAAATTCTATCCTTGTGTGTCAATTACTCATTGAATAACATGGTCAGCCTAGAATTTAAGTTCATCTAGATCTTAAGGCATGATATTTCATCCGGCCTCTATCCATAGTATAGCAAGATGCCTTATTATGCTGCTTCTTGCAACTTTCTAAAATTTCTAAAAGGAAGACTAAAAACAAAAAACTGGGGAAAGTAATTTTACTTCAATATTTAATCGTGTAAGTTGAATTTTTTTGCCTTATGGTATTGTGAACTATATTGAAGGGGCTACAATGGAGAATGTATACACACAAATAACAAGGTACTGAATCTCTATTTGTTTCAGTTGTTCTTATTGCAAAACACATAAACCCTTTCCATGTGTTCAAGGCCGCATACAAAAAGCCTCAGAATCACAACCATAAGAGGCCCTTATCACAACAGAGCTCCTTAGTTGCAACTTGTGGCAACTGATCAGAATCATTAAGATGATAACAGTAAGCTAATATGGACATAATTTTGATATATGGATCAGACTTATGATGTATTCTTTTACGAATACAAGTAGACATAAGCAGACCAGAAGGTGTATGATGACATACCTAACAATCGGGAAACCGGATAGTGTTCTGGAAATTTTATATCCTTAACCCCAGCCACAGCATATATCTCCCTGTAGAAATTCTCCATAGCTTTGATAGTCTCAGGTTCTGGAACTTTCGATGCAGCATGTATCCAAAGCCGACCTACAGAAGACAAAAACAAACGTCAGGCCCAGAAAATTAATAGTCAATAGAAGAATTAAGGAGGAAAACAACGAGATTTATGCATCCCAACTTTCCAGCACTCAAGAAAAATATTAGTGATCGGATTAGGAACACTCAAAAACTAAAATAATCTGAAGAGTAATGTCAGAGCCCTAAACCTGAGATCTAAACCGTCTCAAGCAATTTCAAATCTGCGATGGTTAGTCATAAGCAACCAGGGCAAACGCGAAAAATCGAATCAAGGAACTTTTTAAAGGTGACAAGGTTTGAGCTTGTAATGTAAAGAAAGAATCTGTGATACAATGACATAAAAATTATCTTAGAGAGTTCCGATCAGACACCAGTTGTTGCACGGGCAAGAGACTGGAGAACCGTGCAAAGATAGCCAGAGAGGATTCAGAAGAACGAGGGGATGGATTACCGGTGAGAGGGGCAGGCCAGGATCTTCCTTCGACGCGCTTGATGCCATAGACCAGGAGCGAGGCCCAGGGCTGATGCATCGTCAGGCATGGGTTGGTATACTTCCCCCTCCCGCGTCCACCGCAGCCGCCGCCGCCGAATTCAGCCCTCGACTCTCCGCGGCCGCGGCCTCTGCCGCTAGATCCTCCCCTCATCAAGAGTTCTCTGGTTGGATGGGGACTGGTGACGACTAATTTGGGGTTCCAAGACGACACCTGGGTTTTCTTCTTCGAATTGATGTTAAGACTCTCCCCTAATCCACGTACCAATAAAAGCTTGCGTTAATCCAAATCCAACCAAGAATCTAATTTGAACAGAGGCTATCACGTTGTCGTCTCGTACTCGGACAATAATAGACGAGGTTTAATATCCCAACTTCTCGCGGTATGACAAAGGCGCCACGTGGCATTCGACGTGGCACACGAGATCAGACGCGGACAAGGGTACCTCTGTGGGCCATTCCACCACGGGTAAACTGTAGGTAATTTGAGTTTATATATATATATATATATATATATATATATATATAAAACAAAAATACCGATTATAAATCTATTAATCTTAGCTTTAAAGCCCTCCAAAACTACCGTTATTACCAAATCTCAATTATTGGATCATCGGCCGCACGGCTTCCATCAGTGTGCTGTCGTGGCCGATCTGTCATCTGACGGTCAGTGTCCAATCAATCTAAATGTAGGATCTTAGCCGTCCGACCCACGATCCCTTAAGTCGGCAACCTCCGTCTCCCCCACCACCACCACCGCCACTGTCTTCCGTCCGCTCCGTTGGCAGCATTGAGAGAGGAGATGAATAAGACAGCGAGAGAACGGAGCCAGCGGTGGGGAATCCCCTTTCCGTCTCAGTCCAGATCGGTAGGAAAAGTGGGATATTAAGAGATCGATCCATCCAACGGGCGATTAAGGGAGAGAAAAATGCTCAAAAAGCTGTTGGTTTTAACAAGAAAAGCGAGGGCGGGGGAGAGGCGGTTTCTCCCCATTTGGAACATGGAATGTTGTGCTCTTTAGCCGCCTGGTTGGTTTAGGACGGGGAAAGGTCGGATCTTTTTTGCATTGTAGTTTGGTATTTTGAGGTGTTCCTTTCTCTTCTATTTGGGGTTCTTCCGGGGGGTGGAGTTGGGAGTTTTCTTTGTGCTTGGAGGATGGATCCCGCATCGTTGGATGATATCATCCATCGGCTGGTGGAAGCGAAGGGGAGTCGAGCGGGGAAGCAGGTGCGGCTGTTGGAGGCGGAGATCCGGCAGCTTTGCGTCGTTTCCAAGGACATTTTCATGCAGCAGCCCAATCTGCTCGAGCTGGAGGCGCCCATCAAGATTTGCGGTAAATTCCTTCCCTGCTTCTTCTTTTTCTCTTTTTTCTCTTTGATCTTGTTATGGACCGTTTTGATTGATGTGAAATATCTCCGCTAAATTTCTTGATCGCAATTATAGTGGCTAAATTTTGAGATAAATCTGACGTGGGAAAATTAGGAAAAAAATCAACCTTGGATGCTGTTTTGGTATAAGGATAGAACGATGCATGGCTGGGTTTGATGTGACCCATAAGAAATTGAAAATCCAACCCGTAAATTTGCTTGAGATAATTTCAGACCTACATATTGCATATCATTGTTCTTGTGGACCCATAGTGATGGGTCATTATATATGACAAACAAAAAATGCACTTCTCTTATGCCTGGAGCTATGGTTTCGGGTATAGCCAAGATATCGAATTATAGGTTGGTTTGGACTTTCAGAATATAAAAATTTGAACCAACTGTGATCCTTTAGTATTTAACCTTTTAAAAATTGAACTATTTTCTGAAATTCAGAACTGTACCAAGTTGACTGTTTTGGTTTGGTTTTTAACCAATCAGTCTGTCCTCCTACTTCAAGCATGTGAGGAAAGATGTTTATGGGGTCGGGCTAAGCTATTATCTGAATTCATTCTGCTATTATCCTATAGTTGTGCCGGGAGTGCTACTGTGGAAGCAATTGTAAAGTGTAATTGTTCCCTTTGTTCAACTCTTGATTTTGTTTGTATAGGATAACTTGAACCATTAAGCAAACACTAGAATGAATAATCCTGGAGGAAAGACGTGATGTCATGGAAAAAGGACATGGAATTTATCTCTATTTTTCTTAGGTTTAACGAATAATCCTACAGGAAAGTCTGAAGTTAGGAAAATATTCTGAAATTTTGGTAGAAATTCTCAAAATTTTACTATGCATAGTTGTAAAAGAAGTTATTTAGAACATATTAAAGATAAAGATTTTGATTTGCAGAATTTATATAGGATGTAGAGCATGTAAAGTTTTATTATATTTTGTACCCTCACATACAGAATTAAGCTAGGAGGGTAAAAGTTGGAGAAAATCTGTAGAGTGACATTGTAGAATGGTGCTGTTTAACAGTTTTTTAAAATAGTTCTGATTGACTCAGGAGTAAATTGCAGGATTTGTGAATAATCTAATCCTATTGTTTAGTTTTACTTTGCATTGAATATGGAAAATTATCCAGAGACTTATTTGGCTAAATAAAAACTTTTCATAGTTCCTACTGTTGCTTTTGTTACTTTAAATCAATGCTTAGCTGGATTCATAAATGGCTACTAGTAATGCGAAGCAATTATTATCAACTAAATGTTTTTTCTATAGCCTTTGAATGCACTGAATTTAAACAGCTCTCCTTTGTTTGTTTCCCCCTTTTTCTCACTAACCTTTTTTCCTTACTCTCTTCTTCTGTCGCTTTTGGCATTCACTATTCTTTTGCCTCCTCCATGCTCTGTTTTTTACTCTTGAATATTTCATTTTCATCTCTTGTATCTAGCCTTCATAGATAATAATGAAAAGTATCGATCGTTCTATAGTCCCAACTTTACAAACTTAAACCTAGACTTTTAAGGTCTTATTCCACCCTTTAAGCATATTTCTTTAGTTTTTTTATCACATTTTTGTATCTTTACAATTTATACCAGGACATCTAGGTGTGAACTGTTTTTTTGTCCTGTTTATAGAAATCACTAAACAGTTATGGTTTCACAACTTATCAAACAGAAGCAAAGAATTGTCATTGTGGAAGCTGCATCATTCCAAACCAAAATTTGCAATTTGATATGTTTTTAATATGTTTGGGTTCGACAAGCTGATATCTCTATCATATAGCAATGTTGTAGTTGAAACTTGAATGGGGACTAACATATTAATATCTGATAAAATAAATGCATAGGTTAAATTATATGTTGGAAGATAAAAGACAGCTGCACTAGGAAATTAATATAATATAGATTACCATAATTATGATTTAGTTTGATTTCAATAACATAGAAAACTTAACTGGTACTGATGTCATGAGCTGTTCTTCAATTATGTTACACTGGACATTCCGGTCACCAATACCCACGATGCATTGTCTGTCTGTTGGTCAAATGAAAATAAACTGCCTAATACAGCTCAATTGGTTCAACCATTGAACTAAATAGTGAGCACCCAAGTGGAGTACTCCATTGCAGGATTATAAACAAACAGTTTCCATTTTCTTGTGGTTAATCGATTGTGAAAGCTTTTTTCTAATTGGAATTATTTATTAAGTAGTCTTTGAAAATGTTGACCTTATTTCTTTGGTAAGGTCTGATATGATATTTCTTGCAAACAGGTGATATTCATGGCCAGTACTCTGATCTCTTGAGGCTTTTTGAGTATGGTGGATTTCCACCTGTAGCCAATTACCTATTCTTAGGGGATTATGTGGACAGGGGGAAACAGAGCCTAGAGACTATATGCCTTCTGTTAGCCTACAAGATCAAGTACCCAGAAAACTTCTTTCTTCTGAGGGGGAATCATGAGAGTGCATCGATTAACCGTATATATGGGTTTTATGATGAATGTAAACGAAGATTTAATGTTAGACTTTGGAAGGTCTTCACAGATTGTTTTAACTGTCTTCCTGTAGCAGCTCTTATTGATGAAAAGATCCTTTGCATGCATGGTGGCCTTTCTCCTGACTTACATAATCTAGATCAAATTCGAAATTTAGCACTTCCTACTGATGTGCCAGATAATGGATTGCTTTGCGATCTTTTGTGGTCAGACCCTAGTAAGGAGATTCAAGGTTGGGGAATGAATGATAGGGGAGTTTCATATACTTTTGGGCCTGATAGAGTCAATGAGTTTCTTCAGAAACATGATTTAGATCTTATCTGCCGTGCTCATCAGGTTTTGTCCTTCTCAATTTGTCTTCATTGATTTAATTTTTATGTTGAACCTAGTCAATATCTTTTAAGTTCTCTTGGTAGGTGGTGGAGGATGGGTATGAGTTCTTTGCTGATAGGCAACTTGTAACAATCTTCTCGGCACCAAATTACTGTGGTGAATTTGACAATGCTGGTGCCATGATGAGTGTTGATGAAACCTTGATGTGTTCATTCCAAATTTTGAAACCTGCAGAAAAGAAAAGTAAATTCATTTTTGGTAACACAGCAGCAGCAAAAACAGGAACACCTCCCCCAGGAGTCAAGGTATCATCATGCAAATAGTTTTTCTAATGTTTTTGTCAATTTGAAGTATATGAACTGATGCGATACTGAGCAAGTTAATGATCAATTATTCAGTTTTCTCTTCCATTTTTTTACCAATATCTAACAACTTTCTTTTTCCAGTCTTCTCTTGGCGCAAGATGATGATCACCATAGACATACCTTGGCAGAGGACCCACAGCATGCAAATAAAAATCTGATCCTCAACAAAAATATTCTGATCAGCAGATGCTATAGCTAACCAAAGAGTCCTCGCAGTGAGATTTTCTTCTTGTGGCACATGCAGTGATGCATTTGTCCAATAGCCATAAATGATCAGCATTCATGTGTTCATCTTCACGAACCTTGTGACACTGTTGTGAAGTTGCTTCACCTACGTAAATGATGAAGTTTCTTGCTACCAAAAAATATCACTCTACTTCTTAACACTTTGCATGCTCTTTGTACTCCAAATATGTTGCTATGATAGGTGAAAAGATGCTGATAAACCCTCAATATATTTCACATTTCTAGTGCTAGTGGATGATTTATGTCTTGGTTTCTAATGTAGCTGGTCTAATATACTTGACGTTGGATTTGTCAAAGGACATGTAAACCCTTTATTGCATGCCTCTGGGATTGATCATGTAATTACATTTGGATTGATGAGAAACTGTTGTTTGAGATCACTTTCTCGTTTCCGTCGGCATGTCGGAAGACTAACATACGAGGAATAGCTCGAAGGCCGGCCAGTTGCTTCACCGGCTGGTGTGGGCCCGTCCTCCCCGAGTCCGATGGAGTCATGCGTGAACACGTACAGGACACCAGCATGGCTCAAAGCTGACAACCTGATGGAATTCTTCATGTCGTCGGAGAACGTGAGGAACGTCGTCGCAAAGGGTTTCAGTCCACTTCCGTGCAAAGCCATGGCGTGCTCACGGACTCCATATCGGATGTTACGGCCCCTCGGAGACGCAGGGAGCTTGAAGTCATCGCACCCTTTGAGATAAACTTGCTAAGTCTGCACTACCACCGATCAGTCCAGGGAGCACCTTCACCAGCGCATTCAGGCATCTCTCGGAGTATCCACGGGTAGCATCGACAGGGTCGGAGGTCGACCATTTCTGGTTAATGCCCATGAAATCTAACATGTCTGAAACATGATCTACTACGTAAAATATTTCTAATCTAACGCAAGTAGTAGTCGTTAAAGAGTCGATTACCGGCAAGGAAGCTTCCCATCCCGAAGGCAGCCCACCATCAAGTAGAACCTCGAAATCTTTAGTTTCATCTTTGTACTTGGTCTCATAGTACCTTAAAATGGAGTTCCACTTTTTCTCCAAATCTCCACCATGTTCTTTCCCTTTGCATTTCCCTGTGAAACCATCGGACGTTTGTTATGGGAAAGAGATGAAATAGATAAGACTGCTTCGAACAGTAAACATGATATGAGAGAAGACTGCTGCAGACAAATGTTGCACCTGTACACCAGAGGGATGACATGAAATGGCTGGCGGTCCTCCCACTTCACCATCCTCTTCATTCTCTTCACATCATCCTCCTCAAAAGTAGCATGATGTGCCTTGTAGGTGCCCTCCTTCTGAGAGGACCTTCCGATCAATGTCCTCACCTGAAGAATCGATCAATTCCAGGGTATTAATCATAGACCAACGTACTAAGACCGAGGGAAAGATCACCATGCCTTGATGAATGTTGGTCTGCCAGTCTCATTATGAGCACATCGTATTGCGTTTCTGAGTGGTTCGACGTTCTGATGTATGCTGTCCACCGTGATCGTGTTCCGACCCAAAGCTTCAAAGCCTGCAGAGATGTCTTCGGAGAAGGCGAGATTGGTGTCTCCATCGATTGTGTTGTGGTTGTCATCGTATATGATCGTGAGCTTCCAGTGTGCAGCTTCGTTGGATATGCCTTCCATGGCATCTCTCCATCACCCATAATGCAGTATCTGCCATCAAATAACCAAACCAGCCCATCGCTTCAGCAACTACGTCGACAACAAGCTTGAAACCAAAACATGGTCTTTTGCTCTTGATCAAACTAATAACTAGCTCACGTTCGATGATCAACGAGGACAGCGTCAGGCTTATTGAACTTTGCGGGAGCAACGCCAACTGCATTTGCCACACCTTGTCCTAGAGGACCTGTTGCGTTGTTGCATCTAGTGCAGTTCAGTGATCATGTGACAGACAAAATGGAACAAGGAGAAGAGGATGAGAAGAATGCCTCCACACCTGTAGTCACCACATTCTTTAAGAGATGGCGAACGGAATGATTCGATTGCCTAAGAATTGATTCATAGTAGTTATCTGGGTAGTTATCATATTCTATGCATGTTTTAAGAAGTAGTCTATGATCTAGAAATTATAGGATAGTTTCTACACCTAACTTAATCACGGGTGACATGATGGAGTGAGATAGTTACCATTAGGTCTTATAAAGAATATACACTTGAAAATATATTGTAAGTGTTTTATGTCTATCCTTTTGTTTAAATACTACATCGGTTTTCTTGATCCAATTTTTTTTTTTAATTGCATCGTAGTATTTTATTTTTATCATTTTTTTTTCCTCCATCCCCCGACACCCGGTTTACATAACCTCTTCAAATCTTCAAGCTAGGAGTGAACTAAAAAAAGAAAAAGGTATAATCAAAATGTTTCACCCACAATTTAATAAATTAATTTTGGGCTTAAATTTGTTAGGAGAAAAAAAAAACAAATCTTATAATACCATATTCAAAGAAGTAAAAAAAAAAAGAATAAAACGCAAATCAAGAATTACATGATTTATCCAAACTGAGCTATGTCGATAGATCTTCACTATAGGAAGAAAAAATACAAGTGTGTCAAAACACTGCCTCTCAAACTCCTTAACAGCTTCTATCTCTATTGCATGCACACTGACCTCCTCTCAAACAAACCTATCCCTGTTGAACCACCTTAGATTCTCGGGGTTGTAACGCATGACGTGCCGATAGAGATGATACGCAACGTCGGCCATCCCGAGGGCCACGCCGGGTGCCCCGCCTGAGCGTGCTGCGCGGCATCGACGATGAGAATCCTGACGTTGTCCACGGAGCTCTGGAAGAAGTCGTCGTCGTCGTCGTCTTCCAGCTTCTCTCGCGGGACGGACCCATTTTGTGATCTCTTCAGCTCATCCGCCCATGAGAGCTTGTAGTCCTCGGGCGCATGGATCTGCGCTCGCACTCGGCAGGCGCGAAGCTTAGAAAGTGTTGTGTAAACAAATTCAAGTCGTGGCCTCGGGGCCGTCGCGGCTCAGTTCGGGTCTGGATGATAAGGGATATCCCTGGGACGTTTCTCGAGACCGCCGAGGCGGTCGATTACGTTGGCCCGATCGGGACGGGGTCGCCGTTCCCACTGGGAGAGAACCCCCACCCGTGCCTTTAGTAGACGACCTTCGCCTTCGCACTTGCACAAAGGTCGGGTCGGGGAACTCGACCCGACCCCTCCAACGATCAAGTTAGTGGATAATCGTGGAGGATTTCTTTGGCTGAGTCGTCTCTCTCTCCCCCTCGGAGCATGAGGGTTTTTATAGTGAGAATTACCGTTGCCTGATGTGCTGGCCCGCAGGGAGCAGGACGGTACTTCTGGTAGCTGAACAGGACGTTAATGCGCCTTGGTAGGCGTTCCGGTCCACGTTAACCAGGTGCCTCATCAAATCAACAAAGGCATGATGCGTCGTCTAGTGCAGCTGATGTCACGTGAGTCTTATCGCAATTATTACCCTCGTCAGAAAGCGAGACGGCTATCGAGATCAGGAGAGCCGGAGGTGAGAGAGCTAGAGAACAAAGGCTTTGTTGTTCTCGATGGTAGCTTTCAACACTTAGAGAGAGAAAGATCGAACCCTTACTAGTTCTCTGCAGAGGCTTTTTTCCAACGCGTGGAAAGAAGTGGCAAAGCCACGAAGCAAGCAAACGGAGAAATGGGACGATCCTGTGGAGGTGTCCGAGGCAATAACCTGTATTGAATTATGATCTAAATCAAGAGCGTTTCCAAGTACTGCTTATCATTAACCATCTACACAATCTAAATGAAGTCGTGATGTTGTTGGAGATGAGAAATTCTTATCAGATGAATTTAATTTCTTGTTAAACAGAATCATCACATATTTCTCCCATACATATTATCATTTTAATCTATTCCCTCCCAAAGTTCTTCCTTTTTGTTTGCTTTCTTATGGCCATCATCATTCTGAGTCGAGTTCACTGGTAGCACACTAATTGCTAATATCCTGCAAATATATATTAATAAGCTGAACACACCATTACATCCGAGCACTAGTTTTCACGTAGTAAGAGGTTCGAAGGAAGCTACACCGTATCCATATTATTTGCTTCTACATAGGTATATATCATAGAGCTTCATGCGTCACGAAGTTGAAGGGCGTGCAGGATACGTATCTGCTTCCTTCTTTGTGTAGGGAAGTCATGGGCACTTCCCTTGCAAGGCATCTTGCCAATGACAAAGATTTTGGTCGTCAACGTTATAGTTCTTCTCACCTTTAGCGTTCTCGTTCAGTTCATAGGTCACCGTCTTATCCTTGTCACCTGAGCGTTTTGTGTTCATCTCAGTGAGTTTGCTCACCTGGTGGTTCATGCCTTCTTTGTAGCGATCTCTTGCCGTCGTGACTGACACCATCAGAACCAGTATTACGAGTGAGGTGATGACCAGTTTCATCTTTTCACCTATATATGAATGAGTCCACACATAACTTAATTGGAAATTAAGCAAAGAAATCATGCTATGTAGTAGAGAACACACAAGGAAACTAACCTTTGATTCAAGGGAAGCTCTCAACTCTGGAATGAATTCATCTGCAATGGGGTTTATATAGACTGCTTCAAGAGATCGGTCGTGGAAAGAAGGTATATTATTCAACAAGCAGTTGATTGCAAAGAGGAATGTCAAGGAGAGGGCTAGTGATCTGACGGTGGTGGAAGGACTGTTTGGGTATCACTGCCTGCCTAAATCTTGCTGTTCTCACATATGTTGAGGCTTCGCATGCTCTTTGATCAGAGACCAAAACAAGTGTGGTCTAATCATTTTGACAATGCTGTAGTGATAAGAAGCGCAATTATGTATTCATTTCTAGAGAATACATACATACATATATATATGTATATATCTGATTTGCTTTTGAAGTTTAAGATGTAGAGTTGCAATCCTGTACAAAATTTATGGGCATAGATATGAAAATTTCCCTGAACAACAGTGAAGAAAAGGTTAATTGCAATCTGTACATAAGTTTAATTGGAAGTTTACTTGGTCACACTCTACTTGATATAACATTTGGTACATATTTATCATCATGATTTATACAAAGTCTTAGCCCAAGTAAAATACATTGGGGTATAACAAAGAAAATTTGAAGACATCTGAAGGATACCATTAGCCATAGATTATGGTATTCTACTACTAATGAATTTTTAAGTGTTGGTTGTTTAGATAGTGATTGGGCAAGTTCTATTGAAGATCGAAGAATATTTGACTGCCGATATAAAAAATATCATAATATG